GTGGACAACGTTAATGACATTGACTGTATTTTTCTGTACATGTGTTTGTCGACTAAAAACTTGGGTGCCTTTAAAAAATGTGCTGCGTTGGATGTGAAGAACCGCACGTGTCGGCCTTAATCGTTTCGGTCTAACTGCCATTTCAAATCATATCATATCGACATCAGTCTGAGTTGTTTGCTTGTAGTAATGACATCATTTCCTAACAAAACGAATCAAGCTGGCGGCTTGTTAAACTAGATGGACTACGCTAATAAAGAACCGCTTTGGCTTATCGCTCAGGAATATTGAAGCGTCGCCGAGTTAGCTGGTGTAATAAGAAGCGATCCCAAAACACCTGTCATGCGCATATGACTCAAAGTGTGTATTTTCTACTCAGCGACTTTATTGAAGAGATTTGTTATTGTGATTTTGGAGGTCGCATATTCAGACACTTTGAGTCACGATTTTGCCGGGGGAAAATATTTTAAGTCACTTCTCGATTCCGGTTAATAAAATAACCCCTAATTGCCCTACTTCACTATGACGTCACATCAAAACAATCTTCAACAAACTATTCTTTAAACGCAAAGGATCATGGTCATCGGACGGGGTCAAATCCACGCAAACTAACCGAAAATTGTTCTAAATCCCGTATCATTCCACGAAGAGAAGTAGAATAGCCAGCAAACGCTCAGAATATTTTTTAGTACATATTAACACATATTACATCTGAAAACCAGGCCATTTTAGATTAAACTGTTTCGCTAGGAGCAAATTTAGTTGAATTTTCTATTGGATTTGGCGATTCTATCCCCGACATAAACAAGCAGTGACGTCATAGTGAATTAGGTCAATTCGTTCCCAAATACGGCACAGAATCCTTACACAAAATCTTTCGGCCGACTCCAAATCATGCTGGTCGAAGACCTTTTCTCCGCGACGACCGCCATATTGAATTGAAGTCGGCCGAGAGGACCCAGGGGACGAGGTTGATAAAAAAAAATTGGGTTTAGTTTACATTACAGTGCATTTTGGGTAAGTTTTAGGGACGAAATAGACGCCATCTTGGAAATATGTCCCCTAACGGAGTCTTACAATGCACTGTGATGAAAACTCAACCGAGTTTTTTCCCAACCTCACGAACGACTAATACTGACTTTTTGTTTATCCATTATTAGCAGGTTATTTCTTCAATAATTACACGGAAAAGTCGCTTAAAACAGTGTGATCATATTTTCGCAACATCTCAATCTTTCGAAATTTTGAATTATAATACACAACATTACTCGATTCTGATTGGACAAGAGGAGTACAATTAAATCCCAAATTGTACTCTGTAGAGTCCCAATTAAGTTGCTCATTTTTTTTTGGGAGTGTATTATAACAAATCGCACAATCTTCTCGTACAATTCTGAATTTGTAGATACTCGTGATGTTTTGAAAGTTCTCAGATTGAACTCGTCTAAAGGCTCGTCCAATTTTGAAAACTTTAATAGCATCACCCAGTCCACTCGTACCTATAAATTCCTAATTGTACCCGAGATCGTGCGATTTCCTATACGAATCATCATCATCAGGTTTTCCCTCTCGGCCCGTCCTTGGCCTTAGGGCACAACTGCTCCGGGAAACGTCCTCTGAGCAGATGTTTGAACTTGGTTTTGTCCATCATCATTTTTCTGGCTTGCATTGGATCTATCTGGAGGAGATCCTCAACTCGCTTCCAAACTCTTGAGGTGGTCCTTTTATCGAAAAGGACCTGTTTCTGGAGGGCGTTATTCTCCATGCGACAAACATGGGCCATGTATTTAAGATGCTGGACATGGTATTAATCCTGGATGGAACTGGATTTTGTTATTTCCCGTAGTCGCTCATTTGATATTTTATATCCCCAATCCAGCTGTCCTGCCGCCAAGGTAGTTGGGTCGACACCCTTTTTTTGCTCGTTACGAGGAGCATTTTTCCTTGCATAGCCTCCCAATACCATCTTCCTTGAACTAGTTCTGAGGCGGACAGGTGACATACTTGAATGTCATACAGTAAACGTGATCTGACACAGGAAGTGAGGACCTTCATGCGCGTAGTTTTATCGAGTTATTTGAAATATTTGGCAAGACACCGGGGATAAATGATATTTACTGATCTCCGTTTACTGACGTTGCGGGAGCCCAAGGGTCAAAACACCTAATCTAAAACCCCAATGTAATGATTGAGTATGAACGTATTAAATGTATATTGTACGCTTACAGTGTATCTTGATGTGTAATATGTTCAAGTAAAACCACAGGATGCCCAAGCAAGGTACTTTCGTGTACTACGGTAATGAAAATAAAATACGAGTGGAAAACAGATGGAACAGACTTATAGCACGTACACGGTACATGCCGTTACCTTGAAATGGCTTTCTATTCTTTATACATTAATTGCGGCTATGATGAGGTAGATTTTCTCACTCATAAGAAAACCTTTCTAAAAAATACTAGAGTGCAAACAATTAATCCGTGAAACACTAATTACTAAGTAGTACAAAAGAGTTCTAATTAAACAATAGAAAACAATGGAATTTGCTTGAAATTGTGCCATTTAGTATTCCTAAAGTTTCACGGATTTACTGTGGTCACTATTGTTTGCACTCTAGCGATTAAACAACAGAATTTACAAGAATGTTGGGCTTCCTGGGGTATGAACTAGGCCTTGTTCGATTGTGACTTCCATGCTTGCCTTGCTCATACGTTGCTTTCGCGGGGGCAGAAGTCGGGGAGCGAAAAGGCGTTTGTTTTCCAAGCTGTGACCCCTCCATCGTAGAAACATTTTGAGCTGACCTGACTATTGTTTGGAGTGCCTGTGGTTGAGCACTTAAACATACCACGACATACCACATGAAATACGACGAAAAACGTGCTGGAGAATTATGTGATCTGAAATCACAACGGAAGCGAGTGCTTGTTTATAGGGCTAAGTCAAGCAGATGTTAATCCTTAAGGGTGCTATCAACCAACCTTTGCTGTCAACAAGGGATTTGCTGCAGGTATACATGTCACGTGGTATGTCAACGACTGAAACACGAGGACGTGACGAACATTGACTCAAAGCAGAAACTACTCGACAAACTCTGGACCTAAAACTGTAGAGAGCTTACGGTCCCTGATTTTAAGACGTTTTCCAGAATGTAACGAGTAATGTTTCCGTGGTTGTTTCTCTTTCTGCTCATTATTAAGACAGATTATATATTGACGCCGAGGAGATGGATGGGCCCCTTAAGAATTGCATGAGAGCAGTTTGACCAGTTCACCGTTCATATCTTCATAACGTCCGCCATTTACTTTACGAAATAAAAACTAATCTTTAAAAATAAAACACCAACATTAGAAAGAGTAAGTAGAAATAGGTATTTTTGGAAAGTCTTATTTCTATACATAGCATTCCAGTGAAGTTATTTGCAATCAAAGTTACAGAGTACAGACTAGCCACATTAAAAAATTATCACTATTAATATTTCTAACTCAAACTTTCGAGTTTTTTTTTACGTCATTCTAATCTATAATTTTACTGAATGTAATGTTTACTATAAAATATCGTACGATTTTAAAATTTATGGATGAAAAGTGGCTCGTGGCTATTATTGCATGGCAGTGTATGGCCTGCTTTTTCTGATCGAAAAAGACGAAAGTGGATGCCTATGACAACAGTAGGTTTTCCTCCAAGATGGAAGTTTAATTAAGAATCCGGAATCCTTGTACCGAAATTACCTACAATAGAACATTAAAGAAAATCAAGGATTCCACGTCTGGAAAAGCCCAACACTTGACACATGCGGCTTGAGTGATCTCTTTGAAGTGATCCAGATAATAGTGTATACTCCTCTGGAAGGGATCAATGGCTGGGCTAGTCTCGGGGAAATTTTTGAAAATCCGATCTTAGGCGTGAATAGATTGATCAGAAGACATCTGCAGCACTGACGTAAATCATTGACTTTCTGTGGCTGGTGGTTGAAAGAATTTAAGGGCGGTGTAGCAGTAGTGCACCCCCCTCCCCCCTCTCACCTCTAGGGTCTCACGGTCGATACCTGGACTTAGTATTATATGCAAGTAGAGTTTGTTAGGTCTCTCCCGTGATTTGAGGGTTTCTCTCTGGTTTCTCCAGTTTTCCTCCCCCCGCAAAACCTAACCACTCAACTAAGATTTAAATTCAATAATCCGAGAGTTAGCCGTGACCTGACATTAGGCAGATTAAAACATTCCCGATTTTCCTTCCCGCGAACGGCAAACGTGATCACGCTTTCATCGTTTCCCTACATTTCACTTTACCTTTTGCAAACCTTCTCGACAAAGACAAGTATTCTTTTATTTATCTACTACTTGGAGATTTTTGCGATTCCTTTTCACTAATTTTAAAGAATTTTTTAATGGTCAACTGACGTTTCACGTTTGCCGTAAACGTAGCCTGCAGAGCAGGCGTCCTTGTGATGGGTGTGAGGAAGATTCGGCGTTTTGGGATTCCTGTTTCGACGAAAAATGCACAAGAACGCCTGCTTTGCAGGCTACCGTAAACGAGAATCTTAAACTCTCTATTGATCAGCCCAGAGGTTGTTTCAGGGTTTGAACTGTGAGTTAGCCGCGCCCTGACATTGATCAGCCCAGAGGTTGTTTCAGGGTTCGATCTGTGAGTTAGCCGCGCCCTGACATTGATCAGCCCAGAGGTTGTTTAAGCTAAATAATAGTGCGATTATTATTGGATATACGAATACGATGAATGAAATGAAATGATCAGTGTGTCACGCCTTGACATGCATGTGGAGTCAGAGTTTGGAAACGGCCTGTAAGATGTCACGCATGTCACACAAACTTTTCCAGAATTCATCACGAAAGCGATGGACATCAGTCACCTGAGAATTCCTCCATCTCGTAAACGAAATGTTGAACCTTTAAAAAAAAAAAAAAAAAAAAAAAAAAAAAAAAAAAAAAAAAAAAAAAAAAAAAAAAAAAGCGATTCACCTCAATTTAGTATAATAATAAAATAAAATAAAAATAAATAAATCACTTTATCTAATTGTCTAGTCGTCCTAGCGCTTTCGCACTAATTGGGACACTTTTCGCTCACACGCATTATCACTAACATTCAATATTCTATGCACACAACGCTCAACTCACATGTTGATTTTTATATTACGCGAGGAGAGTCTCAGGGATGTCGGGTTCTATTCCTGTACTCAGCATCACATGTGAGTAGAGTTTGTTGGGTCTCTCCCTTGATTTAAGGGTTTTTCTCCAGGTTCTCCGTTTTTTCACCCTATGCAAAACCTAACAAGCTAAATCCCAATAGACCGTTGTCTCAAGGTTGCGTGTGCATCCAACTTGACGGGCCACAAAGCTGAAAAACGCAAATCCAGCAAATTGAGAAGACAGTTTTATATTTAAAGAGGAGAATAATCGATTTTATGAATTCTTATCGAAAAAAAGTTCATAGCAATGCATGATAATACTGGTGTTCTGGTATCGTGGTCCGTCAAGTTTCTCACAAGGATGCGCATGCAACCTTGAGAAAACGGTCTATTCGAGCTGTGTTTTTTCATGTTCTATTTTTTGTTGTTGTCTATCCCTCCTCCCTGGTCTGTTCATCTACAATCCTAGTAAGACTATTCTCTAATTTAAATATTAGAGTAGACTGTTTATGCGAACGTAAAAATATAAATAAATAAATGAATAAATGAATAAGTAAATAAATGAATAAATAAGTAAGTAAATAAATAAGTAAATAAATAAATGAATAAAT